CCGTCTTGGGTGGCCCTGCACGGCATAGCTCATGGCTTCACTGAGTTACGCAAGCCCCTTCACTACGACAAGGCAGTGATCCATGAAGGGGTGAGATAGGTATGGCTGGAAATACTGGATTGGCCATCATATAAGAAGGAGACCTCATACACAAGTGTATTCCCTTTTCTCTACCCAGTGGCTTTTACCCTTGGCCTGCTGGCCATATTGTTGGGTATCTTGGACACAGGCTACTCCTATGATTGTAGTACTCAATGCACACTATGATGATGGATGAGTACATAAACCTAGCATGTATTATTAGGACGTGGTTGATCATTAATGGTGATGTTGCTGTATCAGAGATGTATCCTCATGGATTTCACGTTCTGCAGCATCTGCTATCCCAAGGCCAGGGAGGAACTGTTGTCATGATTATTTGGGAGATTATTGCCATGGCCAGTAGTACTGCCCTGGAGGCAACCAACTGTGAATTTTTGAATATGAACTTGGGCTGCTACTAGTGTAACCAACTGTCTGGCAGTCTGGCAATGGTCTTGGCCTTTTTGTCTTGGGAGACTTCAGTTGTCTGGGAGAAGAGCCTGTGTTGGCTGTTGTGCCCCAGGTGCCTGGTGGAACTGGGGGGTTTCCAGAGGGTGCTTGGGGATTTTGCAAGGCAGTTTCATTTCTTCCCTGTGGCTCTCTGGAATACGGAGATAGTCAGGGCTCTTGATGAGATTTATCCTGAGAGGCCTCTTCCCAGGCACCAATCCCATGACTGATTCACAGAGGAGTTGCAGGAGATGAAGCCAGTGAAAAGAAATCTCTTGGAGCAATGATGGCATAAAACCAAGAGTGAGCATGGATAAGTATTCATGTCCCAGCCTACATGATGGTAATAGAAACTGTGAATTGTTTCTTCTCTGCACTTACAGCACTGGGTTCTCAGCTAATGACTCCATTCAGAATTCCCCAGATCCTTTCAGAGATGGATAGGTGGGACAAAGCATTGACCAGCTGTCTGGATGAGTTTGCAGATTCCCTTGCAGATGAAGTCATTAATATTGGTTGTGGTCTGGATGCCAATTTGGCAGAGCTAAGTGAGATGAGATGGATAACATCCTGCAGTGTGATCTGGGATTATTTTCAGCTTGGGAAATCCAAGAAAATGGATCAGGTGCTCTGTAATATGAGTTCTCCCACCAACGGGTTAGATCTGTGCCCCTTTTGGCTCCTTTAGACTGCTGGCATGGCATATGTAGCCTTTCTGAGGGAGGATGTGATGCCACCTGCTTTAAAGAGGCAGTAACATACCTTTTCTTAAAGAGTTGATCTCTTCTTCCAGCTTAGTCCAAGAACTTTTCACCTATACCCATCCTCTCCTTTTAGAGGAAGTTTTGCAGAAGGTACATAGAATCAGCTAAAGAGCTTCCTAGAGGAAGTTAATTATCTGGATAACTTCTGGTCAGGATTCAGGCCCTGACATGGAACAGAAGTAGCATTGGTCATGCTAATGGATGAGCATTATCAGGATCTGGATGAGTGGAATGCACTGATCCTGGTCTATTAGACTTCTTAGTAGCATTCACAATCAACCTTCAAGTTTACCTGCAATGCTTAGAAGTTGGGGGCACTTATTGACATTGGTTCCACTCTTACCTGAGCAGGCAATTCCTGTTGATAGTTATGGAAGAACAATTAAACCTGTGGTTCCTCCAGTGTGGAGAACTATAGAGTTTTGTCCTCTTCTTCCAGGCTCTTCAACATCTATATGAAACTGCTTGGAAGAAGTCATCCGTTGATTTGGAGTGAGGTTTCTTCAGTATAGTGATTATATTTGACTGTACATCACCAGCCCAGGCTGAGCCAGTGAAAGCTCTGGACCACTGTCTGAAAGCTATAAAGGGCTGGATTAAGATAATCAAAAGTAACAAGATGGAAGTGCTGTTCATCTGTTAACAATTGGCAACTTTAGTTCCAGTGATTATTCCAGACAGGTTTGCACACCCCCAAAGGGGTTGATTTGTGACTTGAGGATCTATCTGGACCCACAACATCTGTTTGAACAGCAGATGGAGGCCCTGGCCAGGGGACTTTGCCCAGTACACCAGTTACAGCCCTACTCAAATGGAGAAACCTTTGCATTGGTAGCTCATTGGTAGAGCATCACACAGCTGGACTATAACAAAGGGGCTATCCTTGAAGATAACTCAGAAGCTGCAACTGGTGTAGAAGGCAGCAGTTAGACCTAGTCAGGTGAATCTATTTTAAGTTGTGTTATGCTCATCTTTCAGTCACTGCACTAGGTAATCTTTTGGGCTGAGTTCTAAGTGCTGGATATTAGCTATAAAGCCCTATATGACATAGAGTCTAATTACATCAGAGACTGCCTCACTAACTCTTCCCATCCCCTTCAATCAATAATGGAAGGCTTGCTGAAGGCGGCACACCCATGTGAAGTAAGAGTGTGGAACAGACTTTTTTCATAGCAGCCTCTGAACTGTGGAAGACACTGCCTCAGAGGAATGCATAGCCCATGCCCTACAAAAACTGTGGAAGGCATTAACAATTATCCTTTTCCAGCAGGCTTTTGATCAAAGATTAAGATCCAATAAAAGAGAATATATGTAGCTCAGGGTTGAACTGTGGAGTCCTTGGTGCTCTCTGAGCTTGGTTGTTTTTCTTGCAGACGTTTCATTACCCCACATTCACTAGCACTGATGATGTTACCTAGTCGGGTAATGGAACGTCTACAAGCAAACAACTAAGCTCAGAGAGCACCAAGGACTCCAAAGATTAAGATTTCAAGCAGCAATCTAGTTCTCCATATGCTTATCGGATTTTTGTTTTTAAGCATTTCTTAATGCCTTGTACATTCCCCAGAGCCTACAGTGAAGTAGATTAAAAAATTAATAAATTGGCAGCAGTTTATGAATATTAATAGCTTTTGAGTCAAATCATTGGTCTGGCAGATATGAATCAATAGTCTACTGTTAGTGGGGGGGGGTTGTTTTTGGTTTTGGTTTTTTTAGTGATCTCAGATGGAAGCCTTATCCAGCCATATCCCAACCAGGCATTATGCATTATGCATAAAATACATCTTCTATATTTAAGCTGTGGGACTTCTCTTTGCTGTTCCAGAGAAATAATAGCAAAGTATTGGAATTAGTATGAAAATTATGTAGATCCACCTTGTAACAGATGCTCTAGTTTTGTGGAATTCATTGGATTATAATTATTGAATCTTTCAATGTTCATAGGATAGCCTATTTAAATTCGTTTTAATTTTGCTCTCCTTTTATACAGTACTATTCATAGCTTCTTAATGCTTTTTTCAGTTCCATAAAACTATAGAACAGAGAACTAAGCTTTTGAAATGCAGAGTGTTGTGCATAACTATGCAGTTTTTATGCAGTTTCTTTTGTTAAGATAAAGAAACAATTACTATCCACAGTTTGGAGCAGGTGTATCTATTTTTTAATTCCTTGTTTTTCAAATTATACATTTTCACCTGTTATAGAAAGATATATGTGTGTTCTTCATATGCATCTGTACAGTTTCCATGTTTCATTTCAATGTAATCCATAGGAATACAATTGGAAAGACTACCAACCAAGCAACATGACCATGTCTGAACTGCAGATGTTGGCTAGCATGAAAAGGCAGCAAAATGAAGAGTTGGAATATAATGGACCTTCACATGGGCTGAGTGCATCTCAGATCAACAATTGTAATATTAGCATCAGCACAAGCAGTGATGACACAAACACCTGGAATTCATGTCTCCCAGCAGTGAGTTTGAATTGTACCTTCCTCATTGTTTAAATCGGTGCCCTAGCTAAGCCTCCAGTTATATTGAACTCATTTAAAGGATTGTCATTGGTTGGCATACTTTTTTTCTAAATGCTGCAAGGCCTGAAAGGTATAAATACCAGAATTGCTAAGCAATATACACTTACAATAGATTCACATGGATGAACACTCTAGCAAGTGTTAGTAAGAGAGGAAAACAAAACAGTAACATCTAGGACGCTTTGATTGATTGGTTTTGGGAGGTTTAATATGGCCCCATAATACAAGACAAGGTTCATTCTCTTTTCCATTCATTTCAGTGTCCTGGAAGTTTCAGTTGATACATCATTTTATATTCTGTGTCTTCATCTGTTCAGATTTGTTCTCTATAAATCCACAAAATTTAATAGTCAACTGTCATTTTCCTACAGTTTCTTGTTTTAATGCTGAACCTCAGATTCCAATAAAAAATGTTTCCAAAAGCTGATGTCAAAATTTGGCACAAACCATGCAGGGCCTCGCATGGGGGATCATAGCTGAAATTAGAATGTTTCCAGTGCACAACAACTAGCAATAGTCTAGTAGTCCAACAAAAAGAGAGAACCTTTATTTACATAAACAATCAGCAAGTTTACAAAACTACATACATTGATAGGACAGTGCTTGGTCATGTTTGCATCATTATCTGCTGCCTTATTTTCACTGCACCTACATAGAATTTGGCCACTGTACATGTAACATAATGTTTCATGTCAGAAATAAGAATTTTAGCCTAGAACTCATCCTTCTGCCTGCATTTTGGTGTGGAAGGGATATAGAGATCCCTGTCGAAAGTATTGTAGAATGGAGATCTCTGTCAAAAATATTGTCTAATAGTACATGCTGTATTATTTCAATCTCCCAGATTCACATGAGCAAGAGCACTCAGCTCACAGTGTTTTAGAATATCCAATAAATGTAAAGAACTCTACCAAAAGCCTACACAACATTTATTTCAGTTCATTTGTTGTTTTCGAACTCAGTAGTTGATCATCTGCCAGAACTAAGAATAATAAACCACTTGGGAAAACTGGGTCTTAAACCAGTAACTTCATCTGCTTCCAAGGCTCACTTGAATCTTAGGCATCCCAGTCTGAATGATACATTAGATATGCTCTTGGGGCAGCAAGAATGGACTTCAAGCACTTGGTTTGCACTATCTCTGCTGTGTTCTTCTTTGTCTAAATTCCCACATGGGCACCATGTAATATTTGGAGCCATGGTTTGGCCTCAGGAAGTGTTAAAGCTGTTGCTATTAGTTCTTGTCCTTTGGTTAAAAAAATAAAAATAAAAGAACCTCCTAGTAGCCATGGAAGATTTTAATGCCAACTGGGTAACATATTCATCATGTGTTTTTCAAATCTCTATGGAACAGAACACTATTCCTAAATATTTAAAAGGATGGACCTACTATACTCTACTCTACTCTACTCTATCCCACTCAGTGATCCTTGCAGTTTGTCTTTTTTTAACAAATTCTTGAATCTTTGATTTTTGGAAATGTATAACTAGCTTGTTCTTCTTGCAGTACTGAATTATAGGTCTTACTGCTCTTCTGAGCACAATGGGGATATGTGAGATGATGGCTGGTTGCATCATCTGTGTACAAAAGGTATGGGAATATTACGTCTTACCATTTTGGGAACATGAAAAACTTGGTTGGCTATGCCATGGAGTTAATGTAAAATTTAAACAAGATAGGGCCAAAATACATCCTTGCCTCACTTCTTTCTGTATATTTACCATTTCTTAGAGCAAGAAATTGCATCTGGATTGCATCTCACCTTAAAGAGGTTTAGGAAGAGAAGATACCTGTTGATGAATGTGTTTTTTAGCTTTTCCTGTAATATCATTCTAAATATAAAGTTAAAAAAAAATAAATCAAAGAAAGCCTAACCCAGACTTCACTTTATGGCTCTGGTTCTTTATTAAGTGGTATTGTACAAGAGTGTGATCTGTGGTTAAACATTCCTCTTTAAATCCCACTTGTTTGTCCAACTATACCTTTAAACTCTAGCCAGCCTTGGAGCCTTTAGTTTTAAGTGTTTAGCACATCATTTGCTTATTATACTCAAAAGGCTGATAGGTCTATAATTAGTGAAATCTCTTTTATTATCCCCAATCCTTGAGGATATGTCCTATTTGATTAATGAAGGTGAATAAAGATGTATCCACCTTCGTTTTAATTATTTCAGGTAGGACAAAATCACTGTCCAGTGACTTCAGAGGGAGAAAATGGTGGCCATCTTTGTTCAGCTTCATGTTGGAATCTGCATGTAAGCTTCTGAAATATTCTTTCCATACTTGTACAGAAACCTGATTGTCCGGACTCTTCGGGGCTTTACCAAGACCACTGGGGAAGAATCCCTTTCCTTGGGTGGCTGAATAGACAACAGTCAAGTTTCTTTGTTGGTGTTATTGTTCTCCTTCAGAAGAGGCTTCTGATTGTTTTGTTTTTTTTTTCTCTAAGATTCAACAACTCTTGATTTAGAGGATTCAAAAGAATCTAAGGTTTCTTTTGAAAGCTATAGATACAGCTTTAAATTTCCTTTTAAGCTTCACATATTCTTGATCAAACCATTCCTGATCTTCCTTATGAAAATGAAGTAACATTTCCTCTTTTTCTGTGGCTTGAACATTCCATTGCTAATAAACAAATTATATCACCCTCTATACCCTTCATGGGGTTCTTCTCCTGGTAATTGTAAGCACGTTCCTAGCATGGATAAAGATTTCAAACACTCAGAACTGATACTTCAGCACTGCTTTCATTACACCTAGTTCGAGCAGGAGTATTTGCATTCACCCAAATCAGGGCCTAACTTTTGTCTATTCTGCATCACTCATTAGGGGAGAATGTTTTCAAAACTAAAGGGAAGTAGTCACTTTCTACTGGAGGTTCCAGCTCTTTATACTTACTACCAAAGTAAACCGATTACAGAACGTGAACCAAGAATCTGACATATATCAGAAAGTATGAATTGCTTTCCTCTTGGCTGTTATGGGTAAATTTGAAAGTAGAAATCCATAGAAATAGTTGCTGTAGGAAATGGTGAGTTTGGGGAGAATATTGGAAGAATTGAATATTCTTCAATATTCTGAATGGATGGGATTCAGGAGAAAAAACAGGTAACATGTTTGGATGAGTGGAACTGAGAAAAGAAAGTGTAGAGAACAAGATTTGGCCATTGGAAAACATGAGTCAGTGGGAATGATGAATGTCTGGTTGAAGAAAAATCTGTTTTTTTCCCAAATACATTGTTTAAGCATGTCTATTCAAAGGTGTATATAGCAAAGGAATTAATATCAATCTAAAAGCATGATTGATTTCATTGTTTATGATGAAAGATTTAGAGAATTGGTGAAAGATATAAAACTATTCCGATAGTGTCCAAAGGAGTTCTTGGCAAAAAATCCACACAGAAATAAAGATAAGGTGAGGAAAAATGAGAGGGACAGTAGAATAATTGCAGGAAGAGAAAGTATGAGTCAGTATGAAAAAATATTAGAAGATAGATTAATCTTCCAGCAAAATGAATTAAAAGTAGATATAATGTGTGGAAGCTGCTTCAAACAGAATAAAAGAATTGTGACACAGAGTGCCATAAAACTCTGTGCAAATATGCTAAAGAAGAATGAAAAGGATGCATGGTTGGATTGTGAAGTAAAAGAAGTTGTGGATGAGGAAAAAAAATACATATAAGAGAATAATTGTAAAAAACGAAGACGAGAGAGAAAACAGATTATTGCAACTATCTTTTTCAATAGTACCATTTTTATATTTCCTATAGAAGCTGTAGCTTAACTAACGTGTCTCTTTTTCTATTTATACACTGAGATACAACAAGTTAGTCATTAAAAGGTATTATCAAAAGTAAGTGGACAGCAATGTTTTCTAGCTGCTTTTCTATATGAAAATCTGGACCTATGAAGAAATCTGTTCATTAGACTTTCCCATCTCCAGTTTTTAGTTTGAAACCAATATTTTAAAAAAAAAACACTTTTTCAAACAATGAATTATTTCAGTTGAAGTAATCATTCCATAGATTTTGGCTCTTGTAGTTTCTTGTAGTTATGGGAGAAAGTATAAATGTCATGCCATGTCAAGTTGATATCCCTGGCAATTGAAAATCTCAGCTTGTTTTCAAGGCCACTGGAAAAAGCCCAGCTAAAAGTCAGGCTTCCTTAAGTTGTCCTGCCCACCACGCATCAACTGTTTGTCTAGTGAAAAAGTCATCTGCTGTCTAGTGAAAGTCATCTGCCATAACTAAGGGCCTGCTTGTCTCCATTACTCTTTTTCAGAGTAGCTAGGCTAAATGGTTGTTGTTGTCAGTTTGTACAATGGGGCTTTGTTTCAGAGCGGCTGACTCAGCTCTCTCCTCCAAATTATATATGCAGAGGCAGTAAGAAGGCTTTTATTGCAGCATTGATCTTATTCACATTTTTTATGGATTTTACATTGGAATTTTTGATTATTTTACTATGTTCTGTTGGATTCTCCTGATTATTTAGAGGAAAAAAAAAACAATTCTGTTCTTAAACACAATGGGCTGGTTCATCTGGGAGTGTGTGAATTATACTGTAAGTGCCCCAAATAAGTACATGAAATTTTGATGTTCTAAACCATAGATCCATTTAAATATATGTAAGATTATCATGAAATTTTAAACAATAAAGCATTTAAATTGAATATTGTAATACTTTTCCACTGCCTTCTGTAACTACCAGTTAGAGAGTGTGTGGTTACTAATACACAGCCCTTCAGACTGTGGTGTCTATTATAAATTCAGAATTCTCTTATATATCTGAAGGTCTCTCAAACTAAATTATGATATATTTTCTGTTATATGAATATATATTTCAAGTTCTTCCACTCTGTTACTAGAACTTGAATTTGACATTAGACAAGGCATGTTTTCACTTGGTTTGCCACTGACTTTCAAAAGTATGTTACCACCTACAGCTCCAGGACTGATAAAAATGGGCCCTGCATAAAAACAATATTTCTATGTAAGTGAAACAAAGCTGCTATGACCAACATTATTTTTTCTTTCTGTATTCTGCTGTTACAGAATACAGCAGTTCTAAGACCTGTATTTTAAAAAAAATGATGCTTACTTTTAAAGTTTCCCTTGCTTTGATGGAGAAAATTGTATGTTATGCATACAGTACCTTTCATATGAGAAATGATACAATCTAGTCTTGTTCCAATTAATCCTATTTTCTCTCAGTCTTACTTGCTCATCAGAGCTTTGCTAATTTTTACTGTGTAGATTATAGACAACTTCTCACTAGAAAGCATTGCTTTTGTTCTAGATGTTGGCTGAATTTTATGTAACCTCTTTATCCCTAGGTCTAATCTATGGCAACAGCACCACCAGAAGGCTGTTCTTTGTCTATCATTTATCTTCACTGTGAGTTTTAGAATGTAGGCTTTGTACATTTTTAATATAAATATTCACATTTATGTACAGAGTTACTTTGACCTTCCTCCTGTACTAGGCCTAGCTTCAACAATATGCTACTGCAGCATGATTATCCAATGTCCTTCTAGCTTGGTTGTAGCTTTAATAAAATTGGATGCAAGAGAGGGATTTTCTCTTGAGCTATAAAGGTTCAGAATTCCTATAGGCAAGCAGGCAGAAACAGATGCTTACATACATGAATAACAACAATGCGCTAAAACTATACTTTATAGTCAAAGATAGTTTACCAAAAATTGAAATGTAATAACTAGGCCTGTCAGAAAAAAATTGCTGAAATATATATTGTTTAGCAGATGCTTCAAAAGATATAATAGCTTTGCGAATTACATATTATTCTGCCTAGCTGTCAAGTGTAGTAACTTCTTTAAAGTGACTTTTTTTGCATTAAATGCAACTCTGAACTCCTGGAATTTGCAAAGAAGGGAGTTAAGGAAAAAAGAGAATGCATCAAATGATTATTATTAATTGTTGGACCATTGCTCATCTCCAGGCAGGCCTGCAAGGGAAGTGTGTAGAAGCACCACCACATGTAGGCTCTACATTACTCCCAAATCAGTGCCAAACCTCTGCCATCCCATTACACATTCAGGAGCTAATCAGTTTACTTCCAGGTTAGCTGTAATGCATCTAGAAGCATTTCAAGTCTGATTTTCCACTTATAAAACAGTAATATTCCAAACACATTGGAGATAAGCCATTTTCCTTAGGTAGGATTTTTTTTTAATACTTAAATCTCAGTCAAAGACCCACATAGAATGAAACAGTTAATTAACTCTCTAAAAGTAAAACAGGAGGACCAAACATAAAACATAAGCTAAAAGAATAATACAGAATATTATTGTCACTATTGTTACCACTGTAAACTACATTTCTAGGACCAAAAAAACCCAGAATATTATTTGTGTAAAACTAAGGCATAAAGCTAAAAATCTAAGATAGAAGTAGGTTAAAATAAAATAGAACAAAGTGACATCTATCTATATATACCTATTTAGTATTGTTGAAAAGTTAGGCACAGTTATACTATATTGAGGGACGGGGATTGGTTACAAATCTTGTCTTACTAGCAGCATAACAGAATTTGGCAGCATCCAGAAAGATAGAGTTCCTTTGATCAGAAAGCAGAATTTACATGTAGAAAGTATCCAAGTGGCTTGGATAGTTTACCAGGTGAGGGGAAATAAAATGGATTTTATTATCTGTAAAAAACCACAGGTAGAAAAATAAGGGCAGAAGCGCCTGTAGCACATGGACATAATCAAGCAGCATATGGATTTTTTTTTTTTTCA